ACCCATTAACGACCAAGACGGTCGATTTAAACTAACTTTTCGTAGCTGAATTTCAGGTACTCAACGAAATAATAACTGGGTCCGACATATCAATCTTAATGTATTTTTGTCTGCTGAATCAGAATCTGGCCTCAAAATTCGAAACTTTTTATTGCAAAAAAAGATATGGCGATTTTTTTACAAAAAAATCTGAAAAAAAATCGCATTTTCAAACTTTATGATTTTTTTTCAGGCAGAAATCGCATGAATTCATGGTGAAATCATCAACCATCAGTGCACAAATTTGTTGAAGTTTAACGATAAATTTTTACATATATGTATTTTTCGCCAAAATGGCGGCCAAAATGCAAAAAATTTCATAAAATCGCATTTTTTGTTCATTATTTTTTTTCTCGAAAACTAAAGGATTAAACAAAAATTGTCTGAGAATAAAAATGTCTTAGAATTGATCAAGGAATATACTCTCAAATTTTTTCAGATTTTATTCAGACAATTTTTGATTTTCTGAAAAATGCTAAGACCAAATTTTTAAAAAATGTCTGCAAAAAATTTGAGAGTATTCTTTGATCAATTCTAAGACATTTTTATTCTTAGGCAATTTTCATGTAAGTCTTTAGTTTTTGAGAAAAACATTGTTGAACTTGATTACATGCACTTTCCAATGGTGGACACTTGTTGCTGGCATTAGATAATAACGTTTCGAATTGGTCTGCTTTTATGTGTTAGTAAAATTAATCAACCATCTTGAAATGTTTTTTCGTCAATGTACATTCGAAATTTCAATATTTGTTATGTATTCATTGTAGTCCTCAGATACGATTTGTCATATTGGGCAAAAAAAGTTATTATTCATAGTACAAGTAAAATACTTCAATTGAATAGTTCGTCACAATAACATTCATAATAATGTCAAAAAAGCGTACGAGACGATCTGTTTCTTCTGATTCTGAGGTTGAAACCTCAGACGATGATGAAACGGTTTTGATACCAAATGCAGATGATTCCGGTTCATCAGGTGACTCTGATTCTGATTCTGAAAATTATTCTGACGCAAAATTACCGAGAATTATTTAGCAGAAAGTTTCAAAAAATTATCAAGAAGATCAAGCGAAGCTAGAAAATGAACATGTATTTGATTGGGTAGATGGTGAAAGGACATATTCCGATAAATGTACCGATAAAATTTTATTGACAGAAAGAGCAAAAAATAATATACGAAAGAGTGAGCCAAAGGAACTCTTTGATATTTTTTTTTCAATTGAAATGAAGGAGTATATTATCGATGCATGCAAAGAAAATGGTTTAAATTTATCGTTGGCTGAGTTGAATATATTCATTGGAATTATTATAATCACTTCTTTCAATAAAAGAAAAAGTCAGCGAGATTATTGGTCGACAGACCCTTTCTTGCCTTGGCAAATAATTGCTTCCGCAATGTCACGATCTAAGTTTGAAAATATAAAATCAAAATTGAAGTACTCGAAGGCTAAAGATAACAATTCAAACGATAAGGCGTGGCGTGTTCGTGAATTGATGACAATTTTTCAAAGAAATATTCAGAAGTTTGGTTTCTGGAGAACTGCTCTGTCAATAGATGAAATGATGGCCAAATCATATGCTAAAACGTCATTGAAGCAATTCATACGCGGAAAACCTACGCGATTTGGACTTAAATTTTGGGGTCTTTGCACTGCTGATGGATATTTATTAAATTTCGATTTATACTGCGGAAAAAATTCTGTAGTAGGAGAAAAATTAGCGAAATGTGTATTGGGTTCTCGTGTAATTATGAATTTATTGAAACCTTTTTTCGAAATGACAGCTCCTGGAAAAATTCCCCTGTACCACGTATATTTTGACAACTTTTTTACAAATTTAGATATTGTTATACATTTGAAAAAATTACAATTGAGATGCACTGGAACTGTTAGAGAAAATCGTATCAATGAAAAAAATGTCGTCAATAAAAAATCTCCACGTGGTACATATGCAGTAAAACATGAAAAAAACAGTGGGATCAACGATATTACTGTAATGGATTCAAAATTAGTGTCAATATTATCAACATCAGCAGGGGTCACTCCATTAGAACCACTAAGGAGATATAGTTCGAACGAAAAGGCAAAAATTGAGATACCAATCCCACAAGCGTTTCACCTTTACAATCAGTACATGGGTGGGGTCGATGTTCATGATGGACACTGTAATAATTTATTGCCTAGTATTCGGTTAAAGAAATGGACTTGGGTAGTCTTCATCAGGCTCATCCAGGCTGCCATTACAAATTCTGTTGTTATATTCAATGCTGCTAAGAATAATGAAAATAAAGTTGGAACAAAAGACTTCGCTATATCGATAGCTAAAAGTTATATTCATGATGGTAAAATAAATCAAAGTAAACATCAAACGATCAGAGAAAGCAAGCAAAAAAGTTGTTCTCATTGTCCTGTAAGAACATACCTTTTGTGTAGTGATTGCCAATTATATTTTTGCAGTTCGTGTATGAAAAAAAGGCACTAAAATATAGGTGCTTGTGAGAGGCAAGGGGACTCACGATAAAAAAGCACCCCGACTAGTGAGAGGCAAGGGGACTCACGGTAAAAAAGCACCCCGACTAGTGAGAGGCAAGGGGACTCACGGTAAAAAAGTACCACGAAGGAGACATTTTTTTACCACGTCCACGCCGTTATCTCTGGGTTATGCAAAGAATAAAAAATCACTGTAGAGTCAAGATAGATATTTATTACATATCTGAATTTATCGGCAAAATGGCGGTCAAAATGCAAAAATTGCAAAAAATCGTATTTTTTGTTCATTATTTTTTTTCTCGAAAACTAGAGGATTAAACAAAAATTTTCTAAGAATAAAAATGTCCTAGAATTGATCAAAAAATACTCTCAAATTTTTTCAGATTTTTTGCAAACATTTTTTAAAAATTTGGTTTTAGCATTTTTCAAAAAATCAAAAATTGTCTCAAAAAAATCTGAAAAAATTTGAGAGTATTCCTTGATCAATTTTAAGACATTTTTATTCTCAGACAATTTTTGTTCAATCCTTTAGTTTTCGAGAAAAAAAATAATGAACAAAAAATGCGATTTTATGCAATTTTTTGCATTTTGGCCGCCATTTTGGCGAAAAATACATATATGTAAAAATTTATCGTTAAACTTCAACAAATTTGTGCACTGATGGTTGATGATTTCACCATGAATTCATGCGATTTCTGCCTGAAAAAAAATCATAAAGTTTGAAAATGCGATTTTATTCAGATTTTTCTGCAAAAAAATCGCCATATCTTTTTTTGCAATAGAAATTTTCGAATTTCGAGCCCAGATTCTGATTCAGCAGACAAAAATACATAAAGATTGATATGTCGGACCCAGTTATTACTTCGTTGAGTACCTGAAATTCAGCTACGAAAAGTTAGTCTAAAATCGACTGTCATGGTCGTTAATGGGTTAAGATCAGCGCATCGAATTCAACTCGAAAAGTGCTTTTGTTGTATGGTAACAACTTTGATCAGGTGCTCTAACACATCTTGCCGTATATGTGAGGTAGCGTCTGAGTTTTAATAGCACTTTTCTTTATTTTTGGGATGCGCAGTGGGTTGCCATTGTGCAGTGACATAGAAAAAAAAACATATTAGACCTAACGATCACAAAATAAAGTGAAATTGTTACTAACAGACATAATAATAGCGGAAACTTATTGCAAAAAAGGTAAAAATATCACCAAATTAACAATAAAGGTTTTGATTAGGTCTAATTTCTTATACGTGACAGCAGAGGCTAAGATAATATTTTATAATGAATCTAATATACAGGGCGTAACAAAAGTACCGAAACGGTCTTGTATTTTTTCAGGTAAGGTATTTTTGATAAAGGTTAGGGTCAGGTGTTTCGTAACTTTTTGCTAGGAATTAAATGGTGACCTTGGATTTAACCTTGAACCTCACCTTCAAGGTTATTTCAAGGTCTACTTTTTTTCATAGCGGCAATTGAACGAGCGGAAAATTTTACGTTCAAATATGCACCGAGGTCCAAGGTCAAGGACAACTCTAGAGGTCAAATAAAGGTCAAACATGTGTTGTTAGACAAATATCTGGAAATGTCGCAGGATTAGTATATTAGTATATTAGTATAAATGACAAATTTTTTTCAAAGGAAAACACCTATTTTTGATATCGGCAATGAAAAATTTTAAGCTGTGATAATTTATAAATTATAAAGATCACATCCCCATGGTATCAGTATCGTTGAAAATACAGCTTGTACAATGATTTTTGGGATCACTAATCACGAACTTAATTTTCTGATGTTTTGGTTTTTACTTTTAGCATTACCCAGGAACAACAGTGTGAACGTAGTAAATACTGTTCCCTTCGGGGTGCTTGACAACACATGTTTGACCTTTATTTGACCTCAAGGGTTGTCCTTGACGTTGGACCTCGATAAATATTTTACCGTAAAATTTTCCCCTCTTTCAATTACCGCTATGAAAAAGAGGGGTTTCCATTTGAAAAAAAAGTTGACCTTGAAATAACCTTGAAGGTGCGGTTCAAGGTCAAATCCAAGGTCACCATTGAATTCCTTGCAAAAAGTTACAAAAGACCTGACTCTAATATTTTCCAAAAATACCTTATCCGAAAAAATATAGAACCGTTTCGGTACTTTTGTTATGCCCTGTATATCCAAAACAATGAATATGTGCGTGAACAATCATAATATGATGTATCCATTTTGAACGACTGGAGAAAAGTTTGAGCAGATTAAAACGGTATCTTTCATTATCTGTGGTAGATAAAAAGATTTTCTTTGTGTTCTTTGATTGGAAAACTATCAATATAAATTTTTTTTTAATTTTCAATTGACCAGTTATTTTTAAACTCGTTACCCGGACATTCAAAAACCTTGTATGCTAATCTAAAAGTACAATTTTAATTGTCATAATATCATTATTATTACGAGACAAAAATCAAAAATAAATACTAAAATACTCACAAGTTGTTCATTACGATCTGATCGAAGATCCCATAAATGAATCACTCCACTTTGATCACCAACTATTAATTCTACCTGATTGGGATGCAGAACAACACTATTAACTGGAGCTGATACTTGAAATATTCTTTGACACTGAAACGTACTAGATCTATAAATAAAACAAAAATAAGGACTGGTTAGAAGTAGGATTGTCAATGAAATTTGATGATATCGTAGTTTAAATACGTTCAAATATAACAAAATAATACAGGGTTATATAAAATACGATCAGAACGGAACATTCTCTTTAGATAATTTTATGTATCTTGACCTGTCAAACCAAAACTAACTTAAATTAATTTCCAGCATATCACATTAAAGATCATTTGACGGTCAATTTTTCAATTTTCGAACAATAGAGTTTCCGACTGCAGATTTGAAAATGGCGGGAAATTCTATGTTTAGATATACAGGGTTTCTCATTTTAACTTATCTAGTCAGGTTTCTTGAAAAAGGTTTGGGGTAGCGAAACATGTTTGAAACAAAAGTTACTTAATATCAGGGAGGACTTATCCTAATGACCTTGCTTGTAATCTTGAAGGTCATTTTTAAGGTTCTTTCAAAGACAATATTATTTTTTTGGAATAGGAACCACTAGTTTTGACTCTCGATTCGTTGAGACGAGGTAATATAGTTCAGATCCAATTGTCCCTTTAAATTCATATGAAGCTCAATTTTATCTATCTAATTTATGCGATAATTAGTAACATTTAATAGTAACATTTAATTTGCGTTTCAAACAAAAGCTACTCGACTTGGAAGGGACATGTTGTAACAAACTTGTTTTTAAATCTTTTTAAATTCTTAAGGTCATGCAGAAGTCAAAAAAGGCTTATAACGTTCTCAATTCGTATAAATAATAAAGCAAAGTTAGTTTTCAGATTAGGATAAATTTATTCAGATTTCTAGGAACAAATTAAAAAAAATATATTATTTAATATAATTCTTCATAGTAACTAAAATTATTTATTTTCTAACTAAAAGAACATTATCGAATATAAATTATGTAACATTTTTTATTGAAAACATTGTAATTAGATTTTAGTCATACTGTATTTTATCCCTTTGTACGGTGTGATATTCGTACCACTTATTATTTATATTATAGTTCGTACTCTCGTGGTCTGTCGCGTTAATGAATAAGAATTTGTTTCGTTTTCAATATGATTCTATTTATTACTATGAAATAAAATAATAAATAATATATATATATGATTATATGAGTGAGATTTCAAGGAAAAGATAGACTTTACTCTAGTTTCTTATGGTGCGAAGTGTCCCATAAGCAGAGCTTAAGTCTTTCTTATAAAGAATGTAATTCAGCCCAAGTTTCTCATAGCGCGAAGTGTTCTATGAGTCTAGCACAAATTACAATAGGAAAAGAGAGGATTTGCTCAGTTAACCACTATGAGAGTAAGAACTTAGGTGTTAGCCAAGTTTATTCAATCTCATGTGCTTACTTTGCAAGGCTAGGAGTGAATGCTAACCTATGCAAAAATCAGCGTATTTATACACAGATTTTCCCTCCTATTTTCGCAGGACAGCTCGTTTCGTCTTGTTTACACAATTTTGAGAAATGAATTTTCTAAATTTACAAGTGAATAAACAGTAATACTGAAATTTTAAAACATGTAAACTTTACAAAAGTAGTTATTGATCATTTTAGTATGATTTACAATTATAGCAAATAGTATCTTCAAAAGTTATTAACTAATAAAGTTAAATAATGTAATAGCATAATATTTACAATAAAATTTTACATAAATTAATAGTTTATCAATTGTAGAAGTAATTTCTAAAAAGAAATACTTAAATTAGTTAATAACATTTGAATTATCATAAATTTTCATATTTGTAACGGTTTTTTGTAAAATTGAATAATGCAAATATTAAATTAGTTGATAAAGATTATTAAATTATAAAAATGTCGTTGTTATGTAAGAAATTAATGCTTTCGATCTATATACAGTTATTTGTTTAAAAAAATTATTAATTGTTTATTTATTGATAACAGTAATAACTAAGCTGTTATCAATGAAACGAATTCTTACTCATGTTTCTTAAATAATTATTTCGGATTTAAAGTATTTGTTTTATTACAATAATTGATATTTACAATGTAATAAACAAATTAAATTTGCATATTAAAATTCAATATAATTTAATAATTAAACGCAATTAAAATTATTATAATCTAAATCTATGCCCTAAAATCTATATAAAATGCTTTGTTTCATCAAAATTACTCTTGATTAACATATTTTAATAAAATAACAAAAACTATTATATCTATAAGTATATGACGTCACGCTCCTTATATGGTCATAAAATTTGACCCCGGTACTAAGACAATTAAATAATATATGATGGTGGCACCGTTTAATATGCTAATTGATGCCAACAGATTGATGAGTTTAGCGGGTTGCAGTGATTCAGCGAAATAAGAAAATAGCTCATAGATAGGACCGGTACAACGGGTTGTAATTTTTTCCTGCAGACAAAAATTGGTTAATGTATTTTTCTTATGGTGAGGGTCGGGAGTTGAAAACTACCAGGTTACCGGGATCGAGAGTTGAGGAAATTAGGTTGAGAGGGTCGGAGGTTGAAAACCAGCAGGTTACCGGATTCTTAGGTCAAAGAAATTGGGTTGTATAATTGGATCCTAACTACGAGGGTCATTCAATAAGTCTGTGGCTTTAAATAAAAAAAAACACTATTTATTTAAATAAGTCCAATTTATTTTTCAATGCATTTCTCTTTTAACTTTATACTTTCATTATAGCGGTGCTCAAGTTTTTTTATGCCCTCTGAAAAGTAATTTTTATGAATCTTCTGAAAATGCTTATTTGTCGCAGTAGTTACCTCTTCGTTAGATGAAAATCTTTTATCCGCAAGCCGAATTTTCATATCAGAAAACAAAAATTAAATCAGAAAGAACTAAATTTAAAGAATAAAATGGATGAGGAAGTATTCCGCAGTGTAAATCAAATAATTTTGTCCGTTGCAATGCAACTCGTGTGATATGGTGCATTGTCATGGTGGAAAAAAACTTTTTTTTGCCAGATGGGACCATTTTTACTTCAATATGGCATCAAATTGGTCAAATAAGGAGGCATAATATTCTCCTGTAATATTTCTTCCACTCTGAAGGTAATTCTAATATTATACCAATTAAGTTCGAAAAAATTATTTCCATGATGACATCTTTGCTTTTTTTGGCGTAGATTCATCTGGTTCAATCCACATTTTCGACTAAATTTTCGTTTTTGACGTATTATAATGAATCCATGTTTCATCAACAGTAAAGTAGCGTTGCCAAAACTCCTTTGGATTATGTTGAAACATGCTCAAACATTGCTCAGACGCAACCACACGAGTTCAATTGTTATCAGCTGCGAGTAAGCGCAGTACCCATCATGCAGACAACTATCTCATGCCCAAACATTCATGTAAAATGTTTCATGTGCATCCTACTGAAATTTTAAGAGCCTTATTAGTCTCACGCATTTTCAATCGACGACGGTGACTACAGTATCATGAACTTTATCGATCACGTCTTAACACATGGATCAATAAGTCCCGAGACTAACCCAGAGATGGCGCTCGTAGTAAACCAGTAACCACGTCTTTCTAGAGTACTAACCTTTACTTGAAATGTGTCAAAATTTTAAGTCGATCGGACCAGAAACAGCTGAGTTATCGAGGTTGGAGTAAAGTCGTTTTGTAGTTTGTTTAAAAAATGGAAAAAACCGAGTTTCGTGTTCTGATAAAACAATGTTTTTTAATGGATAAAAACACCGTGCAAGCGAAACAATGGATTGAAAAATGTTACCCGGACTCTTGTCCATCAAAAGCAACGATTTGTCGGTGGTTTGCCGAGTTTAAACGTGGTCGTACCGACACAAATGACGCGGAACGCTCGGGTAGACCTGTGGAAGCCGTTACACCGGAAAATATGAGTGAAGTGACAAAAATTATAATGAAAGATCGTAAAGTGAAGCTCCGTGAGATTGCTGAGATGACACAGATATCATATGGAAGTGTATTTACTATCCTTCATGAAAAATTGAGCATGAAAAAGATTTTTTCCAAGTGGGTGCCGCGATTGCTTTCGATGGAACAAAAACAGCAACGAGTCGATGATTCAGAAAGCTGTTTATCGCTATTTACTCGCAACAAAAAAGATTTCTTGCGTCGTTACGTGACCATGGACGAAACATGGATACATCACTATACTCCAGAGTCGAAGCGGCAGTCATCTGAGTGGCGCACAGCTGGCGAAAGCCGTCCGAAACGTTCGAGAACGCAGCAGTCAGCTGGCAAAGTCATGGCGTCAGTTTTTTGGGATACGCATGGCGTGATTTTCATTGACTACCTCGAAAAAGGTAAATCGATCAAAAGTGATTATTATATTGACTTAGTGGTGCGTTTGAAAGAGGAAATCGCAAAAAAACGACCGCACATGCAGAGAAAAAAAATCCTTTTTCACCAAGACAATGCACCCTGCCACAAGTCGATGAAAACAATGGCAAAATTGAACGAATTTGGCTTTGATCTGCTTCCCCACCCCCCATGCTCGCCAGATTTAGCCCCCAGTGACTACTGGCTCTTTGCTGATCTTAAAAAAATGCTGCAGGGAAAAAGATTTGGCTCAAATGAGGAGGTCATCGCTGAAACTGAAGCTTATTTTGAAGCGAAAGATAAATTTTTTTATAAACATGGTATTGAAAAATTGGAAAAGCGTTGGAACCATTGTATCACCCTTGTAACATGGGACAAGATCAGGCAGCGGTAGGCTAATTGACCGCTGCTGACTCTCTCATGCGCAATGAGTAATATTGGCTCTCGCGACGTATTTGACAAAGTACAGGTCACACGATATTTTCATATTTTGTATTTATTTCATGTTTCCCTGAGTCAAGGCCATATGACGTCACACCACACTTACAACACACTTACCAAGTACACACAAACAATTACCAAGCCCACTCGGAAGCTAAGTACAACGAGAGGAGGGGCAATGCTAGCAAAGACGGAGAAGAAAAGGAATTCGGCAGAGAGTTCTAGGCTGCGGTCAACGCCGGACGTTCTAAACCCGCGTTCATCATA